CTCCATCCTCTGTGAGGAGCCCAAGTCCCTCTCCATCCTCTGTGAGGAGCCCAAGTCCCTCTCCATCCTCTGTGAGGAGCCCAAGTCCCTCTCCATCCTCTGTGAGGAGCCCAAGTCCCTTTCCATCCTCTGTGAGGAGCCCAAGTCCCTCTCCATCCTCTGTGAGGAGCCCAAGTCCCTTTCCATCTTCCGTGAGGAGCCCAAGTCCCTCTCCATCCTCTGTGAGGAGCCCAAGTCCCTTTCCATCCTCCGTGAGGAGCCCAAGTCCTTCTCCACCCTCTGTGAGGAGCCCTAGTGTTGCTCCATCCTCCCAGACACACTCCGGCAAGACAGTTGCATCTGTGAGTACAGCATTGTATATTCATTAAAGTAAAGCAGTTCTAAGATATCTGTTTTCAAACATATTTATGTTCTGTTGTTTTTAGGAACAGCCTTCAACGTCTCTGTTACAACCAGCTGCAGGTGATAATGCAGCTTCTTTCTGGTTGCCGAGTGAGATGAGGAAAACCATCCCTGTGCAGGATCAAAGATGGATCTCAAATACCCTCTTTAAATCTGGCAAACTGCGCCCAGATTTAAAGCTGTGGTACGAGCCTCCTGCGCCGGCCCTCATTTACCATCAGGTGCCAACACCTGAGAGGTTTTTTTCACATCGGCTCCTCGTATGGATGCCCTACCATCAGTGGAAGGTCAGGGTGTTCTGCAAAACTTGTGGGAATCATCTTACAGGTGCTGGCATCCACAAGAGGGCTCGGAAAGTCCTGGATATTGATAGGTATTACCTCCTTGTGACGGAGACACTCAGGTGCAGTGGGTGTAATCTCACGTATCTATCAACATCCCAGAGCATCCGAGACCAGCTGGACTTGCCGCACCAGAAACTATTTCGGCTCATCCTCACCCAAAAGTGAGTAAAACATTTAGTAAAATGCTAACTGAAGGAATGAAGATATTACATTACATGTAAATGTAACTGCTAAATAAATACTTTGTTAATCTGCCTTCCAGGTATGCTTGTGACATACGAGTGATAAGGCTGATGAGAGACAGGACACAGGGCAACAGTTCAGCACGGCTGCTGAAGCAGCTGAAAGAAAACCACGGGGAGGAGTGGCTGAACAGGTTGGGGCACTATCTGGAGGAGTGCGCTAACTTTGTAAATAGACCCAGCCTTTTCCCAGTGGTGTGCCAGGAGCCCCCAGAACCAGCTGACATCCCCACTGATCGCTGGTTGTTGTCAGTGTATGGCAGAGATATTCTGTCACGCATAGAACACATAAAAGCCAGCATCACCTCCACCTTGGGGACAGTTCTGAAGCTGGACTCCACCAAAAAGGTTAGTAACCATGTAATGATAATCGTCAAGTTAAAACAGCAAATGGTACATTTGTGAGTGCATTTACTATCTCCACCCAACTGGCACACACATCACAGAGAATCAAGCGCACCCCTCCCTTTCAATCAGGCCCATCTGAAGTCTATAAGGTAACTT